GCTGGTGACCAAGAGAGCTATGCCCTGTGGGCACAGGGGACAGGAGGAAGCCGTGTCCAGTGGGGACAGGAGGGCCACCTGGAGGAGGTGAACCAGCAAGAGCTGGAGGCAAAGAGCAGAGTGAGAGAGCAGAGAGCGACAGAGAGGCCAACGAGTGGGGCAGCGAGAACAGGGAGAGAGAGGATGAGAGAGAGGGGTGGGGAGGGAAATGAAGGAGAGAGAGAGACCAGACACTAGCAAAAAAGAGGGAGAGGGATGGGAAACAAGATAGAAAGGGAGGAAAAGGGGAACCAGGGAAAGGCAGGAGGGGAAGAAACACAAGATGGGAACGAATCAGAGGCAGAAACTGACGGGCAGAGAGAGGGGTGAGAAACCCCCAAGTGCTGGGCTAGGTGGGGCTGGGGGCCTGGGCTGGAGCAGCCCCACACTGCCCCCCTCCAGCCCCAAGAACCTTGACTCGGCTGGGGACCCGGGCAGTGGGACTCCCCAAGTTGTGCACCCCCAGGGACCCCTGAGCCTGAGGTCCTGGCACCCTGCCTCCCTTTCAGGTCATCTCTCAGCACCCCTGCCCAGTGCTCCGTCCGGGGCAGGCTTCGCCCCACAGTGTGGGGGCCCGGGGCACGTGGGGAAGGGCTGGGAGAGGAGCTGCTGGAGGGCTTGCTCAGCCAAGCTCGATGGCCTAGTTTCCTGCTTGCCATTCAGGTGACACGCAGCCCTCGCTCCGTGAAGAGCTCCAGTACCAGCCGGGAGCCCAAGAGCCAGGGCCGGCCGGAGACAGAGACGCAGCCAGGTGGAACCCCTTTGGCCCCACCCAAAGAATGGAAGCACTGAGAGAATGGAGGGGGCCCATAGAGGGGAGGGGAGCACTCTGGGTGGGCGGAGGGCTGGAGGAGTCGCAACAACCAACACATTCGCTTCACAATAAGCGCTTTGGCACATCCCTGGGCCTCACCCCATCCCGCAAAGCAGACTCGCTGGAGGCGGGGCCTGGGAATCAGCATACCTGATTCTTACCATTGGAAAACCAGTGGCTGATTTGAATGCCAGCGTTTGAGAGGTGTGCTAGCCTAAACGGAGACTTTGAAAACATGACTCCAGAAACTCAAAGGTCACCAGTCAAGGGCCCATGGGGACGCATGTGTCCCACCCCAGTATCGGGCTGGTGGGGGAAGAGAGGGAAGGATGAAGGTATACACACACACACACTTCTGACCTTCCTCCCTGCAGTTGTCACCACAGGGCACAGGGAGGTGATGAGCTGGGTGCTCCAGATCCTGGGGTGGGGAGTTCTTAACACCTCCCTGTGGCAACCCCCCAGGAGCGAGGAGAGAAGCCTCCCAGAGTGCAACGGCACTACTGGAGATGGGAGACAGGCCCAGGTAGCCTAAAGGACTCGCTCACCGGCTGGGACATCCCTGTCGAGGGCCACACTCCACCAGCTGAGAGCAGGGCAGCTGCTCCTAGAGGGCAGGGGACACAGCAGCACGCCGGCCTGGCTCTGGGACCCACCTCCCGCTGCCTGGCAGTCTGCCCCAACCCACTGCAGCAGACAATCCGTTCTCTCCTGGTGGGAGCTGGGTCCTCCTAGGGAAGGCGGCCGGGACCAGGCTGTACTCACTACCTCGGGGGTCGCCATCCCATTGAGCTCCATCATGAACCCTCCACTCTGAGGCCCAAGGTCCCCCTGGAGTCCCCCACCACCCTCGCTCCCCTTCACAGCACGGTCCTTTTCCATTGCCCCAAAGCATCCGCTGCAGCCTGCACCTTCCCTGCCTCGCCAGCCCCTTCCCTTCTCTCACCCACTTCCAGTGGCTGCTTCTCACCGCTATCTACCAGCACATCAGGCTCTTCCGGAGGCACACATGGTTTGCTCTCACCTGCTAACAAAGTGCCGTGGAAGAAAGGCCTGGCTACCTGCTTCCATCAGATCACGGGGCCCAGGAGACCCTACGGAGCCCAGCTCTACTCTGTGCAGGTCCTCATGAGTCAGAATGAGCTTGCCGGCCACAGGTCTGATTGTTTTGTTTTTTAATCAGCTTTTACAAACCTCACCCCTCTGCCCTTTCCTCTTTGCCACCAAAGAATCTCTACGGAAGCAGGTGCTGGCAGGTTCCCATCTGCCACCCTGACCCAGAACAGCCAGTAGTCATCTGCCTGAGTATCTCTGGCATCCCTGACGGGCATCTCTCCTCTTGTGACCATCTTTAAGGTGGAACACATCATACGTTTCCCGGTAGGATTTATTTTTCTTTTTTTCTGGTGTATACTCTCCCCACTTTACAGCTAGCAAAACTGAAGCCAAATGGGCTTGTCTCCTGCTCCCACGGGTAGAAAAAGCACGCTTCCTGGTCTTGTGGGGTCTCAGGCCCCGGCTGAGTCCTCTCTGGAACCTGCCCTCCCCACTCAGCTGTGTGTGAGGGGTACGCACCCTTGTGGCTCCCGCGTTGCTGGCTTCTGCTCTTAGTGTTTTGTTTAGTGTGCAGTGACTTAATCTTCTCCAATCTGCTTGATACCGGTGATTACCACAGAATTTTTGTTACATCGAGGGAATGGAAGCGCAGGGAGCCAGTGTCCCGCAGGAGGGCTGCACACAGGGCATTGCTTGCTGGCTGAGCCAGGCCCGCCCGCCCACATGTACTGCTGCTGCTGCTTCAGGGCTGCAGCAATTAATGACTCTCCACCTGGGAGCTGCTCTTTGCCCAGCTGCCTGTTGGGGGGCTGTGAGGGGCTGAGGGACAGTCAGGCACAACAATCTGGTCCATGTGTGTGTGTCCACTTGGCTGGCTGGATTCAGCTCGAATGTGGTGGTCTGGCTCTCTGCAGAATCAGAGCTGACCTGGGACAGAGTGGAGGCCACCGTGTCCCTGGCCTCCCACCTTCCCTTTCTTGTGCTCCTGCGGTCCCCTGGTAGTGGCTGGCTATCTGTGTTTCAATAAACAGCTCCTTGAGCTTCCCCAGCATCTCTAGCCCCTCCCTCACATGGGCTCCAGCTCTGCAGAGCCTCCCGCACAGAGCCTCCTCACGCCACACCACCATGCTGTTGCACAATGCTCTCCTCACTTCCTGATCCCCGCTCCGGCCCAACTGTGTAGGTCTCTGTCCAGCGATGGGCCCTCTAGATGTCCTCCTAAATCTCCACTGCACCTTGGCCAGTGTCCTGTCTAGCACTCCATGCTATCACCCTGTGCCCTAAGAAGGAGCCCTGGTGGCGTAGTGGTTACGCATGGGGTTGCTAACTGCAAGGTCAGCGATTTGAAACCACTTGCCATCCTGGGGGGGGGGGGGGGGGGGCTTTCTATGCCGGTAGAGTTACAGTCTCACAGGGGACAGTTCTACCCTGTCCTATAGGACCTCGATGAGTCGACATCAACTTGATGACAGTGAGTTTGATTTGGGGTTTGAGGCCCTGACCTGTGCCTACCTGTGTCCTCACTCCTTAGGGGCAGGTATTTTCATCTCTGCAGCCCTGGTGCATACTCGGGCTCGACAACTGTTTGCAGATGACTGGACACTGGAGAGACCAACTGTGTGACCGGGTAGGGCCTGAAGCACGGTGTGGGTCAGTCAGGGAAGAAGCCAGTCAGGCTGTGCTTTGGGGTGCTCTGCCTAGTGGTCCAGGATTACCCCACCTGCTCGGCTGACATCACCTGGTGCTAACCCCAGTCCCTGGACAGAGCTACCCAGGAGAGGCAGTGGGCAGTGTGGGTTTTTCCCTCCTCCTCCAGTTAGCTGCATGTGCAGGAGCGGGAGGAAGGGGAGGGTGGCAATTGGCACCTATGAGACAGCTGTTAACGGTGCATGCCCGGGCCTGTCTCGGAGGGGCCTCTGATTGTCCAG